CCCCACCCTCCCTCTCCTCCCCATCCCTCCCCTCTCTCTTCCCTCTCTCTCCCCATCCCTTCCCCTTCTCCCCCCCCTCCCTCTCCCCCTCTCCTTCTCCCCCTCCCCCCTCTCCTCCCTCCCTCTCCCCTTTCCCCAGGGCCCGGCGCCTCCAAGACCTCCCCCGCATCCCGCCCAGACGCTGAGCGCCGAGGCGGCCGCGCGCGTCCAGGAGCTGATGGGCGGCCCGGAGTGCCCGAGGGGTGGCGGGGCGGCCTGGGCACCTACCGCGTGGGCGGGCCTGGGTCGCGGCCCGGGCGTGGTCAACGTGACCCTCGCCGTGAGCAACATCGTGTACCAGGAGACGCTCAGGAACGTGCACGCCGCGCTACCCGCTGCCGATAACGCCAAGTGAGTCGGGAATGGGAATGGTGGGAATGGGAATGGGAATGGGATTGTGGGGATGGGAATGGGAATGGGAACGGAACGGGGGGATAATGGGAAATGGGAATAGGAATTGTGGAGTGGGGAATGGGGGTTATGGGGATGGGAAACGGGGAATTGTGGAACGGGAATGTGGGGATGGGAATTATGGGAATGGGAACGTGAATTATGGAATGGAACGGGAACGGGGATTAATGGGAACGGGAACGGGGGGATTATGGGAATGGGAATAGGAATTGTGGAAGTAAGGAATGGGAACGGTTATAATGGGAATAGGAATTGTGGGAATGGGTAATTATGAGAATGGGAATGGGAACGGGGGATTATGAGAATGGAATGGGAGGAGGTGGAATTGTGGGATTGGGAGTGGAGGGAATTATGCGAATGGGAACGGGGTGTAGAATAGTGGGAATGGGAACGGGGTGGAATTATGAGAATGGGAATGGGAAAAGGGGAGATATTGAAAATGAGAATGGGAACATGAGAGAAATATAAAGGTGGAATGAGAAAATGAGGGAAACTTAAAGAATGAGAGAATGAGGAAAATTTAAAGTGGGGATAGGAAAATGGGGAGAAATTATGAGAATGGAAATAGGGAAATAAGGAAAGGTTAAAGTTGGAAAGGGAAAATGGGGGAAATGAACACGGAACTGAGTGGGAAAGGCGGGAGGAAATAGGGGAAAAAGGGAAAAGAAATAGGGAAAATTATGAAATAGGGAATTGGGAAAATAGGAGAATTATAAGAATGGGGAATGAGGGGAAATAGTAAGAATGGAAATGGGAAAATGGGCGATTTTGTAAGAATAGAAATGAGGGAAGAGGAAAGTCGTGAGATTATGAATAGAGAGAGAATATTGGATAGGAAATAAGGCATGATAATAGAGAAAATATGAAATAAGAGATAAAGAAGAATAGAAACGTAAGGAATAGGATTTGAAAAATAGGAAATAAAGCATGATTATAGAGGTAAGAGATAATAAAGAATGGAAACGCCAGAAATAGAATAAAAAAAGAGGAATATTAATATAAAAAGGAGGAAATGAAGATTTGAGAAATGAAGGAAAGAGAGCAGACTTTCAGGGAAAGTATAAGGAGAAAAAAAACAGACAAGATAGATGTGATAAAAAGGAAAATGGAATCAAAGTAGGGAAGTAAAATAAACATGAAGGAAATAGAATTAAAGATTTATTAGTTTAAGATCTCACGCACTTATCGCTTTTATTTTCATAAGTTTTTTTTGTATTTATTTTTTATTGTGTATCTTTTGTTTTAGTATTTTGACACCCATTGAGTATTTCAGTAATTAAGTTTTCATCGACCAATTCCTTCTCCAGGTTTGTGATGCTGGGCTGCCACTACGGCTCGCTGTACACCGAACCGGCAGCGGGCATGGCGGGGCTTCTGGCAATTAGCGAGGCTGTGGGCAAGGCCTTCCCCTTGGGCACTCAGCGCAAGGTCATTTTCTCCGCTTGGGCCGCCGGGGAGTATGGCATGATCGGTTCGACGGAGTTTGCCCAGGTGAGGAGGGTGTTCCCGTTTTCTGTGGTTGGGTGGGGGCGTTTACAGAGAATGGGAGCAGGGGGAGACTCATGTATTTTTGATTTTCGCAGTTGGGTCCCCTTTTAGGATGAATTAGGGATATTTTAACAAGAGGTAGAGAGGAGTCTGTGACGTTTTAACATTTAACTTAGAGATCACATTTTTTTACTTTATCTTTTTCCATGTGGATGACATTGGTTCCTCCTCCCATGACATTCCAAATAAGAAATTCCTTTAAAACATTTAGATATTTTGAAAACTTGTTTTGTTTTTTGCTGCGGCTTTGTTTGCACTAATGATAAAACAGTTCATATGATACTTGAATACTGATTATGTTGGCTTGAACAACAAAAAAGGAAAAGAAAAAAATACAGAACGAAATTTATTGCGGGTAATCTGCGAAAGTCTTCTTTTTCATCTTCTCCTTCTTCTCGTTCTCACTAATTAATCGATAATTCTCTCCAACCCTTCTCGTTCCTCCTTGCAAAGCCTCCACCCCTTGTCCCCCGCACTCTTCCCCATCCCTCCACCCACTTCTCGACCTCTGCAACCTTCCCCCACCCCCTTCTCCAACCCCTTCCACACCCCCCTTCACCACACTCATCTCCCATCTCTCACTCACGTCTTTTATTACCCTCTTCCCCAAACCCATTCCCAAACCTCTACCCAATCTCATTCCCACCCTTTCCCCACTCTATTCCCACCCTGTCCCTTCGAACCCTCCTCACCCCATTCCCCACACTCTTTCTAATCCTCTAATCCTTTTCCCCACACCCCATTCCCCATCCCTCACTACTTCTAACCGTCCTTACCTCATTCCCCTCACTCCTTCTAGCCTCTTTCTTGCCTTTCTCTTACCCCGTCCCCATCCCTCACCTTATCATCTCCCTTTCCCTTCTCCCTCCTTCCCCCTACTCCTTCCCCACCCAACCCCATCCCGACCACTCTAACCCTCCTTCCCCTTTTCCTACGCCCGCTTCCCCTCCCCATCGGCCCCCTCATCCCTCCCCCCCTCACCCTCTAACTCTCTCCCTCACCCCCGCAGCTCTACTCCCGCCTGGGTGGACTCGCTCACCATCTAACTCGCAGCTCTACGCCCGGGTATGCTCTCAGCCTGGACGAGATGCTGCAGGGCACGGGCAGCCTTCGCGTCTCCGCCTCGCCGCTGCTGCACAAGGTCCTCCGGGAGGCGTCGACGAAGGTGGCGTGGCCGGTGGGAGAGGCCGTCAGCGTGCGGGACGGGTGGCGCCTGCAGGAACCCATCAGTAGTACCGGTAGGGCGGGCCGGGAAAGGGGATTGGGGATTGGGGATTGGCTGTGTTGTTGGATTGGGTTGTTTAGGATAAAAGGGGAATGCGGGTGTAGTTTTGGTTTGGGGTTTATGCGTTGGTGTGTTTTATTTATTCGTGTTTCTTTTTTAGAGATTTTTTTTTTTGTTTTGTTCTAGCCTTGTTTGTTTGTTTTCTCTGGTTTAGATTGGTTCAGTTATTTCATGACAAATTCAGTCTCTAGAATCTACATGTAGTATACAAGGTGTCATTACTATTGTAGTTTTTCATGTTTTGTCTTCATTCCCTCCACTCCTCCCCTCTCTTCTCCTCTCCTCCTCCTCCTCCTCCTCTCCTCCTGCCTCCTCCTCCTCCCTCCTCCCTCTCCTCCTCCCTCTCCCCTCCCCTCCTCCTCCTCTCCCCCCTCCTCCTCCTCCTCCCATCTCCCCCTTCTCCTCCTCCCTCTCCCTCCTCCTCCTCCTCCTCCTCCTCCCCTCCTCCTCCTCCTCTACCCTCCTCCCCTCCCCCCCCCTCTACCTCTCTCCTCCCCTCCCCCTTCCCACCCTCCCTCCCTCCTTCCTCCTCTCCCTCCTCCCCTTCCTCCCTCCCTCCTCCTCCCCTCCTCTTCCTCCTCCCATTCCCTCTCACTCTCCTCCTCCTCCCTTTCTTTTCCTCATTCTCTCCCTCCCTCCTCCCTCCTTCCTCCCTCCTCATCTCCTCCTCTCCTCTCTCCCTCTCCCCCTCCTCCTCTCCTCCCCCCCCCTCTCCCCTCCTCCATCTCCTCTCGTCCTCCTTACTCTCTCTCCTTCTCTCTATCCATTCATCCCATTTCCCATTCCGGTCTAACGCCCCTTCCCCCCTCCCCCAGACGTCCACTTCGGCACCCTGGCTTCGGGGAGTGACTACGTGAGCTTCGCCGCCCAGCACGGGGTGCCCTCGGCCCACTTCGTCGTCATGGGCAAGGAATGGGTAAGGAGGAGGAGGTGGCCTGGTGGGTGGGTTGAGAGAGGGAGAGGGAGGAGGGGGGAGAGGGGAAGAGGGAGAAGGGGAGGGAGAGGGGAGGGAGAGGGGGAGGGGGGCAGAGGGGAGAGGTAGGAGGGAGAGGGGAAGGAGGGAGGGGGAGGGAGATGGAGGGAGGGAGAAAGATGTGTGTGTGTGTGTGTGTGTGGTGTGTGTGTGTGTGTGTGTGTGTGTGTGTGTGTGTGTTGTGTGTGTGTGTGTGTGTGTGTGTGTGTGTGTGTGTGAGTGAGTGAGTGAGAGAAGAAGTGTGTGTGTGTGTGTGTGAGTGTGAATGATCTGTATGTATATATGCAATATAGGTATTTATGTATGTATGAAGCCTATGTATGCAAGTATGCTGTTCAATGATAAATGGATGAGGATAGAAATGATTTATCGCATGTCCCCGGATAAGCCGGTGCGTGCGAAAGAAAATGGGATTTTAAAATGGCCAGTCACGTGACCTCGATCCAATATATGGCCGGCCTGAGCAAACGCGCCCTTTTTCCCTCTTTGGGTTATCGCCTTTATGCTTTTTTATATGTTTGTTGATTCTTCATTTCTCTTCTTTGTATTTTCGTTCAGTTTTGTTCTATTATCTCTTTTAACTTTGTTTTCTTTTTTTCTTTCTTCTTTTCTTTTTTCATCTTTCTTTCTTTTCTTCTTTTCTCTTCTTTCTTCTTTCTTCTCACTCTTCTCTCTCTCTCTCTCTCTCTCTTCTCTCTCTCTCTCTCTCTCTCTCTCTCCTCTCCTCTCTCTCTCTCTCTCTCTCTCTCTCTCTCTCTCTCTCTCTCTCTTCTCTCTTTCGATTTGTCTCTCTCTCCTTTTGATGTTCTCCTTTTATATTTCCGTTATTTCGTTTTTCTCTTCTTTTTCTCCCTTCTTCGCTTTATCGAGTTCTCATACATTTTCTTTCTGTCGTGAGAGAGAGAGAGAGAAAGAGAGAGAAAAAAGAAATGGGGTTAGAAGAGGGAGAGGGAGGAGAGGAAAAGGGGAGAGAGATAAGGAGGGAGGGAGGGAGGGAGAGGAGAAGAGAGAGAGAGAGAGAGAGAGAGAGAGAGAAGAGAGAGAGAGAGAGAGAGAGAGAGAGAGAGAGAGAGAGAGAGAGAGAGAGAGAGAGAGAGAGGGAGAGGAGAGAGAGGAGAGGGAGGGGAGGAGGGGAGCGGAGGAGGGGAGAGAGAGAGAGAGAGAGAGAGAGAGAGAGATAATTAATGGTTTGTATGTATAGTAAATAGACAAAGTAAATCAATATTTTGTGTCATCACATATATTCCATTACGATCATAATTCTAATTCTCACCATCACTATCACGCAGTCACCACCACCGTCACCATCACCACCAGTCACCATCAATCCCCCCCCCCTTCTAACATGACCCCCACAAAACCCCTCAGACTCAGCATCCTCCCCACCAAAATCAATGACTCATCACAACTCAATAATAATCTACCACCCTTCTCTTCCCCCTCCCCCTTCCCCCTCCTCTCCCTCTCCTTCCCCTCCCTCCCCCTCCTCTTCCCCTCTTCCCTCCCCCTTCCCCTCCTCCCCTCCCCTCCCTCCCTCTCCCCCCCCCCCCGTCCCCCCTCCCTCCCTCCCTCCCCAAACGACCACAGGAGAGCACCTACGACCTCCGCCACACCCAGTATGACACCCCGGGGTCGTACACGGCGAGTCCTGGACCCGAGTACAAAGTGGACGTTCATGCTAGGTGAGTCGCTGAGTCATGTTGTTGAGTCGCTGAGTCGTGTTGGGTGAGTCAGTCCCGTCAGTCCGTGAGTCAGGGGACGGAGGGAGGTCGTCTTGCTCGAGGTGGCTTAGCGTTTTATTTTTTATTGTTTTGTTTGTTTATTCATTGTTATTAGTATTTGCTTTATTCCTTCTCTTCCTGCCGAGTTTCAGTTTTTTTCTCTTCTTCTTTTTTTTTTCTTCTACTTCTATTATTCTCTGTAGCTTCTTTCTTCTTCTTCTTCTTCATTCTTCTTCTTCTCCAACTTCCTTTCTCCTTTCTTCTCTTCTTCTTTTTCTTTCTTCTTGACCTCCTGACGACCTCGATATCAAACAATCAAGATCATATTCAATGATTTCACCTGACAGCTGCACCGAATAGCTCCATTTTAAGAGCTGTCAGGCTGGAAAATAAGCCCAACTAGCAGAACTGCTCCAATTTAGTTTCCCTTACCCCCCAAATTTATCGGTCTATTTGTAAGTATTTCATTTAATACATCGTGGCGATTTTCTTCACTTGGTGCCATGTTCAGAGTGTTTCTAATTTCGCTCTTATGGTGGGTTATATGGCACCCTAATGACAGTGGAGGTTGGCTTAGGGGGCACTTTGTTGCACACAGAAACCCTTAGTTCTAGGCTGCTGTTGGCGAGTGTTTCGTTCTATGTTTCCGTTTGTGTAATTATGATTATTCTGTTTATTATCATTGTTTTTTTTTTGTTTGTTTTTTGTTTTTTGTTTTACACGTTTATAATTATTTCGCATTTTCTCTTCACTTTTCCGCCCTACCCGCCCAACCCCCTCGCCCACCCCGCCCATCTCCTTCCCCTACCCGTCAAACCCCACCCACGCCCATACTCCTTCACTACCCTACCCGCCCGACCCCACACCCACGCCCACGCCCATCTCCTTCCCCCTACCCGCCCACGCCATGTCCTTCACCACCTAACCCGCCCATCGCCCATCTCCTTCCCCCCTACCCGCCCAACCCCACGCCCAATCTCCTTCCCCTACCCGCACCAACCCCCACCCCACCCCCACCCGCCACGCCACAGCCTCCTTCGTGGGCGTACGACGCTGGTGCTGAGCGAGAGCCGCCTCCCGCCCGTGGACTTCCGCGAGGTGAGTGGCAGCCTGTACAACGGGTGGCAGATGTTCCTCGACGCCCACTCCGCCGCCCTCGCCAGCTCCGGATACGACTTCACGGGCGTGCTCGGTAAGGAAGGAAGGGGGGGGAGAATAATGGAGGGAGGAAGGAGGGGAGGAGGAAGGGAGAGAAGGGGGAAAGGGAGGAATAGGGAAAGAAGGGGGAAAGGAAGGGGAATAGGGAAGAAGGGGAAAGGGAGGAATAGGGAGAATGGAGGAAAGGGAGGAATAGGGAGAGAAGGGGGGAAGGGAGGAATAAGGGAGAAGAGAAGGGGGAAAGGGAGGGATGGGGAAAGGGGGGGAGGAGATAGGGAAGGAGGGGGAGGAAAAGGGGAGAAAGGGAGCGGCGAGAATCGATGTGGGCGGATACTTGCCCCCTCGACGGCCCACGTCCCCGCCTCGCCAGCCCGGGAACGATCACGGGCGTGCTCGTGAGGAAGAGTAGAGGGGGAAAGGAGGGAGGGGGTGGGGGGGCGTGAGATGGGTGTGGGCGGCGTGAAGATGGGTTGGGCGTGAGATTTTCCTTCCCTCGACGCCCGTTGCCAGCTCCGGAGACGATTCGACGGGCGTGCGCGGGGAGGAAGGGAAGGGAGGGGAAAAGAGGGGAGATAAGGCGGGGTTTTGGAAGGGTTAACAGAGGGTTATTCCCCCTCCTCCCTCCTCCCCAGTAAACAGGTAGTTTTATCACTCTTTTTTAATGTTTCATGATTAGATTTAATTTTAAATGTTTATTAATGATTTTTTTTTTTTTTTTTTTTTTTTTTTTTTTTGTTTGTTTGGATGTATTGGTCTTCAGGTCAAGTCAGTTTAGTCATGGTCAAGTCAGTTGACCCCGCGTTAAAGTCAAATCCAAGGAGGTCAAATCAAAATCAAAATAGCTCATACTTTTGGCATTTGTTTAGTTCAGCAATTTTGATTTATTTCTGTTCTTATTTTCCCATTTATTTATATTTTTTTGTTTTTTTGTTTTTGTGTATATTGCCCTTGTTATTTTAGTTATTTAGTTTTTTATTGACTGATTATACGTATTTTTTTTCATACTTTGTTATTTACTTAATATTTCACCGTTTTTCCTTATTTACTCTTACCGAATTATCTCATTTTCCTCGTTTGTTTACCCTTCCTTCTCCTTTTTCGTTATTTTCTCATTTCCCTCATTTATTTAACCGCTCCTTCCTCCTTTTTTCGTCATTTCTCTATCCCTCATTATTTACCTATTTTTTACCCTTCCCTTCCACCTCCTTTTTTCATTATTTTCTCATTTCCCTGTTTATTACCCATCCTCATCCTTTTTTTACGTCATTTTCCTCATTTCCCTCATTTTATTTACCCTTCCCTCACCTCCTTTTTTCCGTCACTTTCCCATTTCCCTCGTTCGTTCACCCTCCCTCACTCCCCCTCTTCCCCTCGCAGACGCCATCGGGAAGGAGATCGAGATCATGGACAGCACGATGACCTACCTCACCAAGTGGTACGACGACGCCCCCGTCTATCGGCACAAGGGAGGTCAAGCAGGTCAAGGAGGTCAAGCAGGTCAGGGAGGTCAGGGAGAGGAGGATTCGTGCAGCGCCGGCCCCTCGCTCAGGGAGTTCAGGTGAGGACTTTTTTTTGACTTTGACAGGTTTATTGAGGCAGGAGGTTACGTCTTAAAAGGATGTGGTAAGGTAGGTTATCCTCAGCCTTTATCTTGGGAAGTCCCTGTGTGGGCTCAGAGGTTGTTATATATATGTAAAAAAAAAATAGGGTGTATTTCCAGAGGAGGGGTGTTTTAGGAGGATGAGGGGAGGGGGAGGTGAGGTAGGGTGGTGGGTGGTGGGGTGGGTGGGGGATGGAAGGTGTATTTCCAGAGAGGGGTGTGTGGGGTGGTGATAGGAGGGATGGGAAGAGGGAGGGAGGGTGGGTGGGTGGATGAGTGGTAGGTGGGTGTTTGATAGGAGGTGTGGGGTGGATGGGAGGAGGGAGGGTGATGTGTGGAAGGATGTGTGAAGGGATAAAGGGAGGATGGGAGGGAAGGTGTAGAAGGAGGGAGGGTGAGGTGGGGAAAGGAGGGAGGGAGGAAGACCCTTCCTCTCTCCTCCTCCCCTCCTCTCTCCTCCTTCTCCTTCCCTCTCCTCCCCCCCTCCCACTTTTTCTCTTCCAACTAATACAACAATCACCGCTTATTATAAATAATGATTATTAAAAATAACAATGATGTTAATGATATAACAAATAGATAAATAGATGAAATAACTGCATGAAAACGAAAGAAATGCAAAACTCTCACTCCATTCCCCCCTCCCCTCTCTCCCTCCGCTCTCCCCCTCCCCCTCTCCCCTCCCTCTGCCCCTCCCCTTCTCGCTCTGCCCCTCTCTCCCCCCCTCCTCTCTCCACCCGTCTCTCCCCCTCTCCCCCACCCCTCCCTCCCCCTCTCCCCCCCCTCCCTCACGTCTCCCTCCCTCACGTCTCCCTCCCCCTCTCCCCCCTCACCCACGTCTCCCCCTCCCTCACGTCTCCCTCCGTCCCCCCTCCGTCTCCCTCCCTCTCTCCCCTCCCGCAGGCAAGTGGAGGAGCGCCTCCACCGCGTGCTGTCCGTGAAGCGCGGGCTGCTGGGCCCCCGGGGCGTGGGCCGCACCTTCGCCACGCACCTGATGGTGGGCCCGGACCCCGAGGACCCCCTGGAGCCCAGCCAGTACCCGCATGCGGCAAGGGCCATCACGCTCGCCCTGGCCCAGCGGACGCCGTGGGAGAGCGTGCACCAGGAGCTCTCGTTCGTCCTGTCCGCGCTCACCGCCTTCAGGGAGCTCTTCGCCTCGGACGCCGTGCCCGACACCTTCCCCATCCTCTAGGGGGAGGGGGGGGTTGGGGGAAGGATTGATGATGTTTTTTTGTTTTTTTTTGTGTGATTATTATGTTTGTTAATGCTATTTGATTTTTTGTTTATTTTTGTTATTAGTTGTATAATTTTTTTTTGTGATTATTAATATTGCTATTATTATTATTGTTTGTTCTTATAGTTATTGCTATCATTATTATTTATTATTGTTATTATTATTATTATTATTATTATTATTATTATTATCATTAATAATATTATTATTATGATTATCATTATTGCTACATTGTTATCAGTATTATAATCGCTAATGATATTTTTATAGTTACAGGAATCATTTTTGTCATATTATAATTATTATTGTTATATTATTATATTATTATTATTATTATTATTATTATTATTATTATTATTATTATTATTATTATTATTTGTAAGAATGTTTTCTGTGACTACTTAAAGGTCTCACAGAGTGTGCGAGTTATATGTATATATATATTTATCTTTTTTTTTGCATAGACATTTTTGATTGACTCATATATATATATACATATATATATATATATATATATATATATATATATATATATATATATATATATATTATATATATATATATATATATATATATATATGTATGTATGTATACTGAGTCTAATCATGATTTGTGATAACTGTTGATTTTTTAATTACTATATTTTTTCATTTTTATATACAATTTTAGACATATGTGACTTGATAAGAATAGGTTTGATTATCAGCATAGACTAGCATATCAAACGGTTGTGATTGAAAGTTTATTATTGCTTAAGTGAAAGAGATGTACAAATTCCTCCCGAAAGCTTAAAAAAAGAAAACATGAACAAAAAGATATTAGCAATGTGTTCTCTTTTGTTCACATTTCTGTAGGTTTTTTTTTAGCATGTTCTTCAATACTAACACATAGTGACGATAACGAAGCTTTGGAAGTAACTTGGTTTATAGAACGATTGCATTTTTTTATTTATAATACTCATTGGTGTGACGTCACAGCCCCGAGTATGGTGTTCCGTCTCTTTGTTCTTTTAAGTAGAATGAGGTCGAATGTTATGGTGTTATGCTTTTGAATGTTATGGTGCCATAGCGTAGTGAAATGAGGGCGAATGTTATGGTGTCTTTGAGTTTTGAATGTCATGGTGCCTTGGCGTAATAAGTCATGGATTTTTTTTAATGTGGTGAGAGTTATGGTGCTTTAAAGTGGCGAATCTTACGGTACCTTAGGAGTGGTGAAAATTATGGTGCCCTAAAATAATTGTTAAAGTATGGTCGAAAGTTATGGTGCCTTGAAGCGATAATATTTATGGTGCCCCATTGTGATGAATTTTATGGTGCCTTGATTTAAGTGGTTAAGTGGTACTCTAAAGTGGCTTGTGCTATAGTGCCTTCGAGTAGTGACTTATGATGCCTTAGCGTAATAAGAGTTATATGAAGTGGTGAAAGATATGGTGAATATTATGGTACCTTAAAAGTGGTGAGATTTAAGGTGCCCTAAAATCAAGAAAATTATGGTACCTTAAAGCAATGAAAGTTACAGTGATCTGAAGTGGTGAAGCGGATATGGTGACTCCGGATGTGTGATGTCATTTTTTGTATTATAAAGATTTTTACAATGACCTTTTATTTATGCATTTCTTTTCACCTAAATTCCATATATTTTTTTTCCTTTATGTACTATTTCTAACTGTTTCCGTCACCAGATTTTATCAGGAGCTAAGTTCATTTAACAAAATATGCAAATTAGGATGATATAATGAAGCTATAGATAAAATTAAAGTAAAATATGAATCAAATATACAAAGCAGTAGAAAGAGACCTAGAATAGGGAAATTATTTCAAAATGGGAAATTATAAAAAAAAAAATGGAAATGTACACACGCGCACACAATTATACAAATCAGATTATGTATTGGGTCTGACTCCCATGACTTATTACTTCAATTCCGATTTACAAGACCGGTGTTTTATTTAAACTATGAAAACTAATGTTAGTTCTTAATTTTTATTATATGCCTGTAGTAAGAGTCATTTTAGTGGTGTATGAGTAGTTGTTTCTATTGAATACTATATTTTACAAGAGCTGCCCTGCCTATAAACTCGAAAGTGAGGTAGCAGTTCTCAGATTCAAACTAGGCCTAAGTCTACCCGAGGCTAGACAAGAAGCACGACTTTGAGGTTTTTCTCGTTATTCCAAGACAGTCCTTCGCTCTCTCGCTCTCTCTCTCTCTTTCTCTTTCTCCTTTTCTCTCTTCTCTTTCTCTCTTTCTCTTTCTCTTTCTCTTTCTCATTTCTCTCTTTCTCTTTCTCTCTTTCTCTTTCTCTCTCTCTCTATTTCTCTCTTCTCTTTCTCTTTCTCTCTCTATCTCTTTCTCTTTTCTTTCTCTTTCTCTCTCTCTCTTTCTCCTCTCTCTCTTTCTCTCTCTCTCTCCTCTCTCCTCTCTCTCTCTCTCTCTCTCTCTCTCTCTCTCTCTCTCTCTCTCTCTCTCTCTCTCTCTCTCTCTCTCTCTCTCTCCTCTCTCTCCTCTCTCTCTGCCTCTCTCTGCCTCTCTCTCTCTCTCTCTCTGTCTCTGTCTCCCTCTGTCTCTCTCTGTCCCACGGTATCTCTTCCCTCTAGCCTGAACCATCCTACCTCTACTCTCCCCATCCCCCAGCCAAATCCCTATTCCATTATAAATTGAGATAATCCAATCTCTACCACTTCTCTGATGCCTGCCCTTCCTCTCTCTCGCTTTACCTAACGCACCAGACAACCTAAATGTTCTACTCCGTCTTCGCCTTCCACACCCTCTCCTAGACCCTCCTTTTCCTCTTCTCCTCCTCACAAGAGATCCTTTTTGTTTCTCAGACCTCCCTACCCAAATTCCCTTTAGGAACTCTAGGAGACATCCCCAAAAATTCCAAGACATGACCCAAGAAAAAGTTCCGCTCCCTCACCCACCCTCCGGTCCCTCTACATTCAAGGAATTTGCCGATATCCATCCTCCTCCTTCACAAGTTCCTCCTCTCCCACTTCCTCCCACTCGTTCCCAACACACCCCATCCTCTCCTCCATCTGCACCATTCCTTTTTCGTTCTTCATCATCCTTCCCTCTCCCACCTGGACACTCACGTAAATCCCTTCTCCGGATTCGTTCCCTTCCTGAGGCCCTTCCTATACTTCACCTGCTTCCCCAGTCCCTTTATCTCATCCCCAGACTTCTGCTGCTTCTTCTCCTCTACTCGTGTTGTCCATTGATTATTTCATAATTAGCTCTTTAACCATTTTTTTCTTTTTTCCCGAAAGTCATGTTCCTCTACCTTCCCCAGCAATAGATGCACCCCATTTCATCCAGACGCCCTGTACCCTTAATCCTTTCCTTTATTAATCTGCTATTTACTTCATTTGCCGCCCTCTCTTTGCCCTTTTTCTTTTCATATAATCCTTTGACTTTTATTACTCTTTATCCTAATCGTTTACTCATTTACCCTTTTCACCATAATATTACTTTACTGTTGTTCTATGTGACCTTAGATGTCTAGCACATTTATTTGTTTCAACCATTAACCATCCATCCTCCTCCTCCTCCTCATGTTCCCCCAATCCTCATTTCCGACACTCTCTCCCAACATACCCTGACGGTCTATATACCCCGTCCCTTGGCATTAGTCCCTCACATCCTTCTATTCTCCTTTCCCACTTCCCCCTTCGCTCCTTCCTTCTACCTTTTCTAGCCCTCGTATTACCTTGGACCTCCACTGTTCTTCCCTCGGCCTTTTATTCTTTCTACGTCATTACTCCCCTTTGGTTGCCTCATAATGGCTCTTTTGCACTGTTCCTTTTCTCAGTGTTCTTCTTACAGTCCCACGCGCCCTGTTGTCTTATCCCTGTTACTGTTTTTCCTCAACTTCTCCCCTCTTCCTCGACCCCCTATTCGGTTAGTTATCATAGAATCCCCATTTTTTTTTCCTTGCAACTTGTTCTCCTTCGCCAGACGTATGTATACCCTCCATTTGGTCGTGGTTCACCCTTAAGCCCCCCCTACCCCCTCTTACTAATTTCTCTAATCCTCGCCTTTCCCTGTCAGCTCGCCTTCTTTAACCCTTTCACTACTGTGCTCTCCTGTGGTGCCGTTCGACCCGCAACATCTGACACATTTTATTCTAATCGTGAACTGAATTTTATCCTTTTCGCCACAATACTTTACCACGTGACTTTTGATGTTTAGTGCGTTTGTTTTGACTGTTGTTCACCGTTCAGAATGTTCCCTCACGAAGTTCAACTCTACGGACACGACCGCCCATTTTGAAAACCTTTTTTTTTCCCGAGGAGAGGGAGGTGAAACTCAAATTTTCCCTGTTTACAGTTCTGCTATTTTGATCGTCGACTAAGGATTCAAATTATCCGGAAAGTTCTCAATAAAAGGTCTGATAAACTATCCGGGGTTCAGAAAACCAGACCCGTGAATCCGGTGTTCTTGGAGTCCAGTATTTCGAGACAAGAAAAAAGAAGAAAAAAGAAAAAAGGTAGAATTTCAAATGTTCTCTGTTTGTAAAGGAATTTCTTTATAAATAAACATCAAGAAATCAGTATGTGTAAAAAAAAAAAAAAGAAACAAAAATGAGACCAGGAAGAAATGGAAATGAAAATCCTAAATACGTAAAAGAAAATGCTATTCCAGATATAAAAGTTCCATATAGATAGAAAAATAGATTACATATCTATATATATGTCCGAGAAATTATCTTGATATATCTAATATCACCTCAAGATATCTGCATTCATCTATCTATATATAGAGACAAATAAATACCAGCAGACCCAGAAAATAGATAAAATATATAAAAATAAAGATAATTAACATGCTCTTAGCCTATAAACTTGAGTCCCCGCCAAACCACAGAAAACGGGATCTGAAGACTTGGCTCTTGAATTTCCTTTTTTTAGTTTTGTTATCTGCGCGTGTGTGTAGATATTTAGATAATTAAATAGATAAGTAAGCAGGTAGATAGATCTTAGACCGATAAAAAAGATG